AGATTCTGCAGTCAGACTGGGGAGCTGTGGGGGAGACTGTTTGCTTACGTTTTTCTTGCTCCTTGCGGTTCCAGGAGGTGCTTATATAGGAAGAAAAGGGAAAGCCTTTCAAGAATCACCTGGGAAACAGGCAGACGCCCCAAGTGAGACGCGCTGCCCCAGGCTAACCAAATAAAGCTGTGTCCATGTAGGGGATTCACGCATCAGGAAGTGGGCAAAGCCACGAGAAAGTGGCTGTTTTTCAGGAGCTGATAAAATGTACATGAGATAAATCGCTTAGGCTGTCTTAACTCTCAGCTGATTTTTTTTTTTTTGGTTTCGGTTTTTTCTCCGGTACTGGGAACCGAACTCACGACCTTGCGCTTGCCAGGCAGGCGCTTTGCCGCTGAGCTAAATCCCCAGCCCCTCAGCTGATTCTTTGAAATAAATAAACATATCTTGTTCTGAGGATTTCCCCAGCTCCCGAAAACTCCGCCTTCCACTCCCTAAACCACAAGCAATCGCCTCACCTTTTCCTGTTCCCAGAGTATCAGTTTGAATCAAAAGCTTGGAGAAAAATGGGCTTGGAAAAAAGAGGCGCAGAGGTTTCAGTGTAGCGGTGGAACCCCCTCTGGCTCGAGTGCCTAGGTGAATTCAGGGAACCTTAAGCACTAAGAGTCTTTGGCTAGAAGAGTCCAGAATGCTGCTGTGTCACGTCAGCCGGCGTCGTGTAAAGAGCAGACACACGCACTGAGGAGCGAGCAGGAGCACTGACAGTGTCTCCGTGTCCGGTTTCATCAGCTCCGAGTTGGGGGAAAGTTAACTTATGTGGAGCAGATTCTTCTCTAAGGTATCTTACATCCCGAGTGTTATCGCGGAAAAGCTCGTATGCAGGAAAGTGACAGCGGGGGACACTGAAGCGAGGCTACCTGCCCCGGGGACTTGAGCAGGGGCTCAGCGAGCTCCAGGCCGCCCCAGCCCATTGCCAGCTCTTCTCTTCCTTTGCCCTGTGCCCATGGTCCTTGTCGCCCGGGGTGCTTGTTGCCTGTGCAGCACAGAGCACTGGCTCCCTGAGGAGAGGCGCCCACCGTTTGGCCTGGTGCGCAGCAGGCTGCACTGTCCTGTTGGTCATGGAGATTAACATGAGTCAGAGCAGAGGCGGCCGGCTCCGCATGCCAGTGTCCTCCCGCCTCAGGACCCAGAGCCCGAGGCAGGCGCGGATGGGAGGCACAGGGAAGGTGCTGAGGGGGAGGGCTCTCCCTGGCAGACGGTGGGCCAGGAGCGAGCAGGGAAGGCCCTGTGGCCACTGCAGAGCTGAGCTGCTCGGGGGGATCTGGGTCCTGACCTCGAGGAGAGGCCCCTCTCTGGGGGTGTGGGGACAGGGATGCCCGGGGTCCCCGCACGGTGCCCCAGCTCTTGTGTGATTGCTGAGAGTGCCAGGGTCAGGACTGCTGTGCTTTACTTTGAAGTTTGCTTGTTTTAAAGCAGTGGTTGAAACTGTGCTATTCTCTGAAATAATAGTGAAGATAACGTCTCCGCGTTCACAGCGTGGCGGCTGGGTCCCATCTCCATTTCGCCCTCTCCTGCGGTGCTCACTGTCCGCCTGTCCGTGAGGGCAAGTGTCCCGCAAGCTGCCCCCAGGACTAGGAAGGGCAGGGCCGCTGCGCTGGGGCTTCACCCTTGTAATCCCAGCAGCCTGGGTGGCTGGGGCAGGAGGATCACAGGTGGAGCCCAGGCCAGGCAGCTGAGTGACTTAACAAGATCTTCTCCTAAAATAAAAAGGAGCCAGGCCTGTGACTCAGTGGGAAGGTCCCAGGTCCAGTCGCCTGTACTTGCATTACAAGCAGGGGCAGGTGGAGTAGTGGAAGCTAAGTTGTTCATTGCTAAGACGTCATAGTTCTCCTTTTCCACTTACGAAATGGAGAAGATGCTTCCCCTGACTTACAGAGACATGGCCGAGGGTGGAGGGGCCCCTCTCGACTCAGTGTGGGCCCCTGCACTCCCTTGCTCCTAATTGTGTTAGGGGCAAAAGTTTAAAAACCATCAGGGCCTTGTTTAGATGAGGAGAGGAATGTAAACCCCTGAAGTTCCCAGTCCTTACTTTCCGTGGGCTGGTAGCGTGGTCAGTGAGGAGCACAGGACCGTGGTGGACGGTGACCAGATGCCCCGGGAAGGTCACAAGGGAGACACAACAAACAACTGCTGATGACCAGAGCAGATGGAGCTGCCCACCAGCCCGAGGAGTGGACATGGGCTGGTGCTGGCCAGGGCGTCGCTGCTGGAGGTGAGCTGGCCTCAGGGCTAGCAGCTCACCTGGGCAGCGGGGGCAGCGGGCAGAGAAGCCACGGGAACTCAACAGGGCACCCGTTCTACCACCTGGTCTGCTCCCCAGTGTGACGGTCAAAACCCAGCAGTCAGCAATGCAGAGAGCTTGCTCAGCCTCAAACACACAGGAGAGATAAGTACCCCAGAAGCACGTGCCGCAGAGGGAGCCAGAGCTAAGGGCCCAGATGCATTCCCTGCAGAGGCGAAGCGCTACTCTGTGCAGGACAGAGCAGAGCTCGCTCCAGGAGCAAAGTCGGCTCCTGAAAACATAGATGCTGAAACATTTCTAGAGAATAACTCACAGTACATGTGGTAAACAAGAATGCTCTCTGCAAATTGCATAAATCTGAGTGAAAATAGCAGCAGTGATTATTTGGTAATTAGAGCATTTTGTACTCTCAGGTTGTACTGCTCAAAAAGTCTTGGGTTCTGCAAAGAGAAAGGAATGCATCTCTCTTTGTTCAAAATGTAAAAGACAGCCAGGCATGACCGGTACAGCCCCGTAATTCTAGCACTTTGGGAGGCTGAAGAAGGAAGGTCCCAACTTTAAGCCCTGCGTGGATGACTTAAGCGACTTACGAGACCCTACCTCAAAATAGTGTTATAGATTGGATCCCCAGCTCTGAAAAAGAAAAAAGACATAAACAAAAACCAAAAAGAAGAGAGAACCAGTCAGTGATTTGATGACAATATAGATTTTCTTTAGAATTTACTACATGGGAGAAAAAATTATGCTTGTCCTGACAGAAGTACATTTCATTTAATTAAAAATGCACTAGTAAGTCTTGCACCGAGAATGGATGGATAATCATTCATCTGAAAAGTGCTGTCTTCAATGGCGGGCTGCATTATGAGGGCAGCCCAGAATTTGGGTAGCCTCAAAATACTCTTAGAGCATGAAACTGGGTTTCTTCCAATTCAAGCCCATGTGAACTCTGCTTTAACTTGCACATGCCGACTTAGGAGAGGAGATGTCAGTCACCGGAGGCAGTTGTCCCGTGGTATTCTACGGGGATGATGGGGCGGGGCCTGGCATGGGAAGGCTGCGGCCGGGAACCGAGTCTGCCTGCACTGCTCACAGTGCAAAAGAAGCTGCTGCGCACAAAACAGTTTTGAAAATAGTGAATCATTTTACTACTTTTAGCATTTTTAAACTTCTACTTGATGCCGGACATAGCTCATGTCAAATCAAGTGCTGCTGGCTATTTAGGGATCTATGTAATAACTTTGTTGTCTTCTTTTTAAATGTTTCCATCAAATGAATCGCTGTCAAGGAATCTCTATTTGAAGGCTCACCAGGACGGGTCCATGTGCTTAATCCTGGAACGCTCCATGCTGAGCGTTCTGCACGGACCATGTGCATCTTCCTGGCGTGACTGCGTCCTGGGCGGGGCGGTCACTCTTGTATCACTGAGTCTTCTCCCCAGCCCGGACACTGGACTCTGTGGACCCCACGCGCCTGGTGTCTTAGTTCCTAGGTCCTCGGGGGGAGCCACTGTGTTACACACACAGCCCTCCCACCCAAGCCAGTCACTGACAACTGGCACACAACCAACAGGAAAGCAGGAAGGCGAGCCACCTGGATTTCGTCCTAGAGTGAATTTTTGAGTGGCAAATCTTTACCACAGCCATTGTGGAGCCAAGCACAATTTAGCTAAATGTTGAAAAATATGTGTTTCCCTGTTCTAATCTTTTTAACCATTCTCTTGCTAACGCAGAGAAAAGATGCTTTGTGTCTCATCACATTTCTTCACTAATAAAAATGTTAATATGTCATTGATTGGATAGGATGTATGAAGAAGAATGGGAAGTAACATTACGTATACCCTTCCTTAGTCTGGGAGGTCTTTCTCGAGTCATTTGTAATTTTATTGGGACACGCGCAGCGCACAGTGAGGAGAGGGCGCGGGCACACAGCACACCTCAGCTCCTCTCCCACCCCGCCCCGCCCTCCCTGCCTCCTCCATCCTCCGCCCCTTCCCTCCTGCGAAGGATCTGTCTCCCTGGTTCCTGTTACCTATCTTTCCTTGTGCTGTTTATTTATATTTGGGGTCCTCTTCAAGAAGCATGAAGACATTTCACTGGGACATTTCACTGATAGCGCAGATGCTTCCTCAGTTCCAAGCGTTAGGGAGGGAGCCTGGCTTCTCTGGAAGTGCCCGCCCCCACCCCCGGCCTGGCCACCACCCCAGGCACTGGACTCGGGCGGGTTCTCCTGCAGGCCTGCCTGATGCAGCCGTGAGACAGCCTGTGTTTCTGTACCAATACGGGGGCAGCCAAGGGGCTGTGGGGCATGACCTTCAGGGAGCTGCTGAGGCAAAAGCATTGGGATCTGTTCTTCCCAGCGCTCCCAACCCTGGGGTGATGGCATTGTTTGAAAACAAACCCCACCATGTCCCGGGACTGAAATACTCTGTATGTGTTGTTGTTTGCAGTGCATGCCAAGACATTCATGAGCAGCAGAGCCAAGCTGGCGAGCTAATTAAATATTATATGTGTATATGTTTAAAACAGCGTAATAAGGAGCGTTGGAAATCTTCAAGATGAGCGAATATCTTATAACTTCTTCCGCAGGTGCGAGGATAGCTACAAGCCATGGACTTTCTGTCCTGCTTCTTGTTTGTGGCTTTGTGAAGGGTGCTTTGCTTTAATCTAAAGTGCTGACTTTTTTCCAATATCACTTTCTCTTCTTAAAGCAAAGAGCAAATCGCCTGTAATACCCACGGAGCGGACAGCAAAGTTGACCCTAAACTCCAAGCACCACTCAGCACCCTCTGTACTATAATTACCTACTCCAGGAGCTCCTGCTTCGGAAGCATAAATGAAGAGGCTATCACACGCTTTGTTCCTAATGTTTTCTTTGGCAAATCACTGATCTTTCATTTCAAGAGAATTAGTGTGAAGCGATAGGACCTTTTCCAATAGCAAGACCTGTTTTTTCCTTTTCTTTTGGCGAATGACATCATCATCTCTCTGACTGCTCAGGGGTTGGCCAAAGTCATCGTGTAGCAATTTTTTACTGTGGATACCACTGATTTCCTCCCGAAGGGCCCACTGCCGGTGCAGGAAGCAAAGAGAGACCAGAAGTCCTCAGGACAGAAACCATCTTCTGACCAAGCCACTTCTGGGGCAAGAACAAAATCATCCATGCTGCAAGTCAACAAGGAGAATTGTCTCAAGGAGTGATCATGGGAAGTTTTTTTTAAACCTTTTTCCTGGATTTTTTCTTCTTTTCCTGAATCCTAGTTCTCAGCCCATGGGGAGTCTGCTCCTGGCCAATCCCTGCCCATCGTGGGAGGTTTCTATGACCGCATTTTGAGTGCTCTGTGTTTCAATGTATTTTAATTCATTTTGAATTCTTGTATATGAAGACCTCACGAATTCTGTAAATTGCTTATGGTATGTGTGATGTAACTTCAAAGTAGATAGCCTACGATCCTCATGCGAGCTGATTTTTATCATTCTATATACAAATGTATACATACGGATATCTCTTTGTTGGGCCACCAACCAACTTCCTTTGATAAAGCATTTGTTTTTCATTTGTAATCCACGTATGCTGTGACTTTCATAGTGGAGCCTTTCATCTCCGCAGATTTGACGGCCTCAGATGGTCTCTGCTGTCCTCTGCTTCCTTCTGGAAAATGCATATTCAAAACTGTATCCGTCTCTGATAAATGAATTAATTTTGTTGTGCGTATGCTATGTTGGAATTTGCTGTGTTCATGTCTGGTGTTCGCTGAGGTCGGAGGGCCTCCCCCGGGAGAGCACATGCTGGTTTTGACAGGTGTGCCTGTGTGATCTTCATCCTGCCAGTGTACACCAGTCACTTCTAGAAAGTCTGTCTCCCAGGCAGATGTGGGGAGGGAAAGCAGACCCCTCGGTCCCCGAGTTCGCAGAAGAACCTTTCTTGCTATGGCTAAAATATGCTGCTTCCTTTGACCTGTATGAGTTTTTGTAGCTTTGTCATTCTGTTATTTGCTGCTAATTATATTTTAATGTCTCCTAATTAAAAATTAAAATTTGGTTGTTGGCTAAGTACAATATGCAAATAATGACTGCAAATCTCTTCCCAAAGAAGAAGTGTGTTCAGTGTCACTAGCTAACAAATTAGGACTTCAATATCTATCCTTACTTTTGGCTTTATGATCATTCAGGCTATTTTACTTAGAACCGTTCTTTACTCTGGTGAAGAAAGATAGAGCAATTATCGTGCTGCAGGTGCACCCTGGGGTGGGGGCCGGGAGGAAGCACGAGCTGAGTCCCCCTTCCAGAGCCCTCTGCGTCCTCCCTGTGGAGCCGGGAGCTGCCCGCACAGGCCGCGTCCTCCCAGCCCCGGTCCTGCGTGGAGGCTGGAGGGCAGCGAATGTTTCCGATGTTCAAAGGCAAAGGCACTGGCTTCAGCTGTTCATTTACGGCAGTGTGCGTATTTTCGTACTGTGGACCTTCTCTTCTGAGAAAGAATGTTTCATGCTACAGTTATTTCTTGCCATTTTTCTTGTTCATTTGGTTTATTGTTTCGGTCTAATGAGAAAAATAAATAAAGGTTTTGATTGCGCTATTTTATTAACCTAGGAATGTATTTTCTTTCAAAGATTAATACCTTTAAATGCATAGCATAATAAGATAACTGTCATCTGCAAGTCTGTCTCAGCTTGAAGGACTGCGTATGTTAAGGCATCAGAGTTCTGATTCGATTCAGTCCAGCTGAGAAAATGTACCCCGTAACACGCTTCTCTCACAGGTCAGGAGATGAGACTGCTCAGTACTAAGTAGACAGATTGGTGCCTGAATGGACAGTTTCACCATGCCGGGGACAGGTGCTGGTGTGAGGACACTCGCTAGACTCATGTATCCAAAATAATGTCATGCTGTTTGTCAGTGTGCCACCGAGTCTAGCGCACGGCCACTTTGAGAAAAAAGCAGTGTGTCATGTGTTTGCGCAAACTCAGAAAAATAATATGGAATCTTAAACATTAGAACAGAAGCGGTAGCACACGAGGGAGACCATCCGGTGATTTGCACTTGGTACTCTGTCCCTTGGGGTGGTAACTGTATGTTATGACTGTGGAAATGAATAAAGACTAAAAATAATTGATCTGGCTTCTCAGCCTGTTTCCAGGGTTTTGCGACATCTTTCAGAAGATGAAATTGTGAAAAGTTGAAATTGTTTACTTGAGTTCAAGCCAGATCCTTTGTTCTTGCTCTCTCCCATAGACATATGGACTACTTACAGATTAAACAATGCAAATGAAAGTACTTGAGGACGAAGTAAGATACAGTTCCCTAAGGCAGATGCTCTTAATCTAGATTAGTAAATAAACTTGGTAGAGTCTTTAAGCCCAGTGAATTTACGACAGTGTTACAACTCTTTCTGTGATGCTTACCCTTCATTAGACATAATTAGTGCTCTAGAGATGATCTGAAGTGCACAGGATGATGTGTGTATGGTCATACAGATCCTGGACCATTTTCTGTAAGAGTCAGGGCCATCCGAAAGGTTTCTCTAGCTCACCCCCGCAGATGGGGGATGGCTGTAGGTCTGCACTGTGCATTATCCTATGGAGATGGTCCTTCACATTAATTGATGCTGAAAATGATTTACTTATCATTTTCTGGCCTAGAAAAAGAATACTCAGATGGTTTTGAGAATGTACGAAGACTTAATTGCTATATGTTTGGACTGGTTTGCCTTAAAGTGCTTGGAAGCAGGATGTTTTCAGGGAAATATATTAGGAATCCATACACACACACACACACACACACACACACGCATTTGACAAAGACAGCATATATTTTTAAGTCTAGAAAAAATAGCCTTTACATTTGCTATGAACAATATGGGATAGTAGATATGGAGTAATGTTTGTAGAATTTTTATTAAGATGCTAATGTAAATTTTCAAAGGACACACAGCTACCACTCAAATAAGTGATCCTGGTATTAATCCTATATAAAAAACAAAATATTGAGTACAACTTAGTGTTAGTGTTATAAGAAGAGATAGTTACCAAGGTAAATGTAATCTTTCTGAGATAATACATAACTAACGATTGTAGTTTGGAATTGAAACTATGCAGTTACAAAATATGTGTGCGCATAATTTCAAACAGGAAGCTAAAGTGATTTTATTTTTGGAACTGCGCATTGATTAAAGGGACATGCAGTGACTCTGGAATCGTGGGGGCTTACGGCCTTGGGCCACGGCATGATCATGTGTTCTTTATGTCTTGGGGAGACAGGAAGTCCAGGGACCCCAGTGTGGGGTGTGAGGAGGTATTGGCAGGAGGCTGCTCTGAGCAGGGGACGTCAGTGTTAATCCTGAGTGCCAGGAAGTCAGGCAAGAGAGAATCGTGGATCAGAGTCCCCAGGGACAGAGCACAACTTGTGCAAGTCCTGAAGCCACGTCCACGTCCGCTGTTCAAGGACCAGAGCCTGAAACCAAGCAGACGGTGGCCTGAGAGACCTCGAGGAGCTGTTAGATGAGATGGAGCCCCGGGGAGCAAACAGGGCAGAGTCTGTGTCACTCCAGGGTGTGCTGCCACTGTGGAGCCAGGACCCGACCTGCGGGACCAATGGACATCTGCATCAATGCTCCTGAGACACAGGCGCGGAGGACCAACCACACTGCAATGCTGATTTACATCGGATCATTCCGGGGAGCAACAGGAGAGGCTGAGAGGACAATTGGACAGGTGTGACTGGGGCGGTGAGCCAGTGGCCGCTGTTAGAGATGCCACTGGAATAAAAGCATGCGCGCAGCAGTCCCCCACCCATGGTTTTGCTTACCTCTGGTTTCAGTTACTGTGGTCAGCCAGATCTGGAAATGTCCAGTGGAAACCCTGCAAATAAACAAGTCCTGATCTGTACCTGCACGTGGTTGTGTGTGATGGGTGGGGTCCTCGCGGGGCTGCTGTGCCCCTGGGTGCGAGCCAGCCCTCTGCCAGTGTGTCCACCTGCACTTGCCGCGTGTGCCTTAATCACACAGCAGCCACCTCCACGAGCCGGAGGACCGTCACGGTGCTGTAGTGCTGTGCCACCACACCCTCATGGCCCTTGGCAATAGTTCCAGAGCTGAGAGGGCGAGTCCAGCAGTCTGGATTTGCCAAAGAGAAGCCATAAATGTTTCCCTCAAGTGTAAATGTACAAGTCAGTGTTTTCATCAGTGTGTGTGGGTAAGAAGACACACGGTCCATGCAGGCTTTGCCCCACCACAGAGGGCTCAAGGGACCCGCCCCTAGAAGAAGGGGTAACTTTGCTGCAAGTTTGAAGGGCGGGGAGACTGCAGGGAAAGAGGCAACCCCTAGACATTGGCTGGAAAACACAGTGAGTAAAAAGGTAGAGAGGACAAACTACACCGTGCACGCACACGTTATTTTTTAAAAACCAGAAATTACAATCAGAATTCTCCCCAGTACAAATCCCAGAATTACAGACACAATGTTTTCAAGGACAAAGATCATGACAAAATCATTTTGTACTTAGATTATATTTTCACAGTTAAAAAAACAAAATAATTTTGAGGTAAATAAGGCTTAGAAAAGAGTAGCCTATACACAATATTTTTAAAAACTGCTTCCTATGTGCCCCAATTGAGACAGGAAATTAAAGTAAGTAAGCATAATAGAAACTGTTTAACATGTGAGTTTAGAAATTGTGTTAAATCTAAAGAACGCTGGAATATTTTACTGTATTCACTGTATATAAAAGAAACAAAAGCTCCCCAAACAGTGCATACCCTTATTTTGTAAGTGTAATATATTCTAATGTTTTCCATCTTGTTCTTTTTTGCTTTTCGTTCATGTTTTGCACAACATTAAATTAATTTTACAACTGCAAGTTGAAAAAATCACAGGTGTATTTTGTTCTAAAGTGTAACACAAAAGAAAAACATGATGCGAATACGTAACACAGCAAAAGCTCCCTCGAGTTCTGAGCCCTCTTTATGTTACTAAGAAATGGAAAGGTGCAGATACGCCGAAGAAGGAAGACGCCCTTCACTTGCTGCGTGCTCAAGTGGCTGTGCCTTGTGCGGGGAGGCGTGGAGCTGTTGGCCACATCCGTGGTTTTCTGTTTTGTTCTAGGTTTGCGTCTTTCTTTTGTGGCTTTTCCTTCTCTGAACCCCCATTCCTGCCTGGAGATTAGTCACAGCCTGTGAGGCAGTGGGACCAGAGGAGCTTCCTTCTTCCGGGCTTGGAGAAGTTCCCTGGGAAGGGGCTGCCTCATTTGAGTAACGAGGCACAGCTGAGCGCCGCCCCCAGGGAAGCAGCGGGAGACACGGCCGTCCTGGCGTTTCACCACCGTGGGACCCAGTTTCAGGGGTGGATAACCACGAAGTCTCCAGGACAGAAGCAGAAAGACAGCCTTCTGGAAGTCACAGTTAATCTGTACCATGTCATAAGAAAAACCCTGCATTCTTGAAATCTGAATCTTGAGCCTCCATAACAGAGTCTCCAAACTTCCCAGTGTCGGTTCGTGGGCCTGGCGCACCCACCCTGTGGCAGAGAGCCTTGGTCCTGATGAAGTCATCTTACGTACAAGCTTGGCCTCCTCCTCCCAACTTCCCCGAGTGACGTGCTCTGGAGACTCCCACAGAAGAGAAACCCACCCAGCTGTGTTCTCCAGTGACAGCTCAGGACGAGTGCTACATCTGGGTCCCTGGGGAGCCCTAGTCAAATGCTTGAGGGACAGGTGATAACGGAATACTTACCAGGGTCAGTGCCCAGTGAGACTGCATACCCACCTGCAGTAGTTTCCCCAGCTCCTAAAAACATGGATGAAATGTATAGCGTTGAAGACACCCTACAGGGGTCCTCTGTCCTGCAAGGGCAGGGCTGTAAGTCGACCAGGGGCCCTCTTCACACTAGAATACCTTTCCCTGGAGGGAATAGAAAAACAGTGATGCTGTCAGAGATGCAGATGAAGATTTACCCCTGCCTCTGATGGCTTGGAAGGCCGGAGTCTCGGTTCTGGATGACTGGAGCATGGCAAATGCGGTGTGTAGGCGCAGCTGCGGGTCCAGATACAGGCTGCGTGCTGGAGCAGAGGAGGAGGCTGAACTGCCACACACTTGTTCACTAGCAATTTCCACTTCATTAAAATTAGAATATTTTTAAAAGAAGGTTTTATTACACCAGGCAGGATAAAAGTGCTCCTTTCTCATCTATCTGCAAAGCTGCCTTGACATTTGGGGTCTGAGCCACAAGCAGTCCGCTTGGGCAGCCCCTAGGACAACCGCGGTAAGATCTGGGATTGGGAAAAAGTAGCTCAGGAGGCCGAAGGATACGTACATTCCATGAACTTTGCTCAGAACTCAGGCCTGGGTGGCTGCACACCTCCCTGCACATCCAGGGAGAGCCAGTTCCAGTCATTTACCATCACGATGACCAGAAAAATGGGTTGTGTGTCCCAGTTCAGTTTCTGAGGCGAACATTATGTATCTAGAAAATCTGCCAGGACGGTTCAAGAGAGGGCAGTCTCGGGCGGCCTACCTCATGACAGCAGGCTCAGAGTTCACCACAAGATGCCAGCACAACAAATCCAGCGAAACGTGACGCATAGCGTGGAATAAACGTGGTTTATCCCAGGATGGGAAGCTGGCGAAAGCAGCAAAGACGCTCTCCGCGGTGTGAGACAATTTCTGCCGACGCAGACACAGGACTGGAATGTGACTCCAGCTCACCCGCTTGGGGAGTCGGAAGCCATGGTTAGAGGAGGGGGAAGGACGGAGGAGGTGCCATCAAGGGAGCTACCTCGCGAGCAGCTGGGGTTTCGTCCCACCGTAACTGCTGTGCAAACCCTCGTGACCACCCCAGCCAAACAGGAGGCTGCAGTGCTTGAACCCTTGACCATTCGTCCTGGTTGGACGAGGCTGCGCCCGGCAGAGTAGACGAGCATGGCCGGGTTGTGCCTGGTGGGTGACGGGTGCTTGGCCTTGGGTGCTGTACCAGTCCTCATCTCTGCCCCTCTGCTGTTTCCCTGCTCTGCGTCCCAGCCTCCGTGAGCTTCCACACCATCCTTTTGCTCTGCCAGATCCTTCCCCCGATGTCTCTCCCCTGAGCATGGACTTAACCCATGAGCAAATCAAGTCTCCCTCCTTTCGGTCATGGGTGTTGGGTTTTGTGTCTCAGTGACCAGTGGGCTGCCCTGCTGCAGCTTCCAGGGCATCTCCAGGAAGAGAACAGCAGGAGCTGAGGCCAGAGGTGTCGTGAACGCACTGCAGCGCTCGAGCAGAAATAGCCGGGGGGTCCCACCTGACGGCCACACGTGACTGCGGACAGCCATTAGCACAGCTTCTCAAGGCTGGGATCTTCAAACATGGTTGGTGATTTGGGCAGTATTTCTTTGCCTCAGCCAACAGACTACTTCGAGAGGCTGACACTGCACAGTTCTACATTTTCAAGGGTGAAGCACATAAGAGTAAAATTAGATCAGAAGTTTTTAGACAAGTACCTTGAGAATGCACGAAGATTTCAGCTACTGCTGTGGAACCAGACATTGATTAATTCCACAAATCGAAGTCAAACATTCTACTAGTGTTATGTTTACGTTATCCTCTTTTTGTGATAATTAAAATATTATAAAGTGAGGGAAGGTTCTTTTACTTATATACATGAACTGCATTATATATCTCATACACAGCCCAAACCAATTCATCTCCACCTAGTATAGCCAGGCAAGGAAAAAGTTGGGCACCCACATGAAATGCCATTCACAGAAGAAAATCACACCTGTCTCAGAGGAGGAAAGAAAGGCATTTGATGAAACAGCACTCACCCATGAGTAGGTATTTCCCCTCATGAGGAACACGGAGCAATGTAATGATGCCCGTAGTCCTATCTATCTTCCATACAAAATGCCCTTAAAAGTGTTTCAGAATACAACATTGAAAGGCACATAAATAATCATTACTAGATAAATGCTTAACAAGTGGTATATTTACATAAGAGAGGACTTCAAGTAAACGAGGGCTAATACAATGCTAAGGATAAATTTTAAAGCCAAGGTAATTGATTAACATAAAAAATACATAGAGTAGTTTTCCCTTCAAAAGAAACTCAGGATTGAGTAAAATTGAATCAGTGTCTGAAGTATGCAGAAAATCCCTTCCTAGAGGTCAAATACATGAAACCTCACCCACCTCTACGAAGGAAAAAGGGCAGCATTTCATGATCCTGTCTGGGTTCTGAAAACGACACACACTATGGCCAAGTGTGCTGCCTCCTACAGTCACTGAGTGCCTCGAGCTCTGCCAGGTTTGATGGTGGCCCAGGGAAGAGAAAGATCTTCCGTCTGGCCCAGGCCATGGTAAAGCAGCTTTGCTCTCTGACCGGTATAACCCGTAGGTCTTAGAGCGTTCAAAAGACCTTATTCACTCAGGATTTTCCTGGGCTCTATTGAAAATCCTGATAAGAAAATCACTAATAAGGTCTCTAGACTTCCAGGAGAGCCTGATTCCCATGGTGAGGAACTCGTCTAACTTAACATACAGTTTCCCATTGTCCCTGGGTAGAGAGTACGAGTTTGATTTTTTTTTGTACCAGGAATCAAACTCAGGACCTTGCACTTGCCAGGCAGGCACTGTGCTGCTGAGCCATCTTCCCGGCCCCCTAGGTAGAAAGTAAATAAAACTGGACATCAGGCAGTCGTGCAGCCTGTGGGGACGGCATGCATGGGTGAGTTCAGAAACAGGAGGACAGCCCTCCATCAGGTAGACATAAGGAAGCAGCCAGTGCAACTCAGAGTTTCAGGTGATTTTCACAGAAGTTCGTGCTCTCCTGATACACTCTTCAGTCCTCAAACCGATACCTTGGGTATCATGAGGAATTCGTTTTCTAAAAAGGAAAAGTTTAAGCCTCACCTATGGATG